AATTTGGGAGAAAGGACCTAGGAAGTCAGACATCTCATGTTGGTGTATTAGCAGTAAGGAACAGAGTGGTCAGCTCTTTTTTTTTTTTTTTTTTTTTTCCAGCTCTATTGAGGTATAATTGACAAATGAAATTGTATATATTCAAAGTTACAGGATGTTTTGATATACCAAAAAGAGTACCAAATTATGAGTTCTTGCTATACTAGGTATTTTCGTAGGCAATCCCTCAATCCTTCCATTTTACCAATGAAGGAATTAAATAAGGCTCAGAGAATTCAGGTAAGTTGATCCAGGTCACATAAATAAATAGGAATAATATCAGGACTCTCTTATAAGACTTTTTTGGTTGTAGAAGTGAGTTTTTGTTTATTTTATTTCATCACATCATGGCAAAGATGGACTTTCCTTAGGAGATGGAACCCTGAAACAGATGGGTAATAGGAAGTGAATCAGAAGGCCAAGCTCTACTGTGTGTTAAGAACCTGTGTTCTTGAAGCAGTCATTCAACCTTTCTAAGTCTTCCTTTCTGCTTCTGAGAAAAAAAAGTGTAAGGATTCCTTCCCTCTCTGCCTCACAGCAGGAGTGGAACTAACTAAAACATTTGTGGGAGGCCCTTTGCAAACGATGGATTATGGTGCAAATATAAGGGGTTGTTTTTATGTAGCAAGGCCCATAGATTGTACAAACCCCTTTACTTCTTCTCTTAAGCCCAACTTTTCTCAATTACATAGTAAAAAATTTCCAAAGCCACCTTCTCTGAAGCCATCAGAGATTGGCTAAGGTGAGAAAACCTCAAACTTCCTTTGGGTCCCAGATCTTACTTTTGTACTCCAAGTGATTCTCCATTTTTCCTCGGAATAAGTGATTTATAAAGCATTACAACGTTAAGGATGAATGTTCACCCGTCATTCTAACAGGTAAGAGCAATGTGAAATGAGGCAGTGTATGTCTTTTCTGTATTCTCAGGCTTTTCATTTTTTCTTCATCTTAGCCCCTCTTCCTCAATGCTAAGTTGAAATTCTTTTCTTATCCAGTCAACAGACCTCATCACTTTCTGGTCATTTGGAAGTTTTCAAGAATTTGTATCATCTAAATCAGTATGTCATTTTCACATCCATGTCAAGTTTTCCGCTTCCCCAGAGACCACCTCCAGCAGTGAGGAAGGGGATTATGGTCTATGCTTTCACACTTCCATATTCTCCTTCTCCTCTTCCTTGACTGTTTCTGGGTATCCTTCACAACCAATGGAAATTAAAGGAAAAGACAAAGGTTCCCATGTGATGGATGCTATGGCAAGGCATCCTTGGGTACCCTCAGTGTGAGAGGACCCCAGTGTTGATTTCTTCTCATGGGCACATTAGTGAGTTTTTCAGAGACTTCTCGTGCAGCATCTAACATGAGGTGAGATGCAATCTGCATGACCTACTTTGACCTCTCCCCACTACAAACTTAGTTTCTACTTTTGGAAGTCCATCCACGACCTCTCATCACTCGAGTCTCTTCTCCACTGGACAGATTGCTTCATGACAGCCCTAGTCCAGCCGTCTCCTCACACCCATCTGAGGAGCTTCAGCTTCCTTGTCCATTGAACACTGTTGAGTCCAGGTTGCACCGCTACTTCCCTGGCTCCACATCCACTACTGCAGGGTCTCCAATCCCTGCCACCTTTGGAATTCTCCAGGCAAGACTCTAGCGCCATTCTTTGTGATTTCATTGGCGTCCACACTCTGGGAGCTGCATGATGAGGTTTCTGAAAACCTTGCCCATGCTCCACTGTATCACCTGGTGGGAGTGAGGGGCAAGAGTTCCTGCAGTTCAGCAAGTGCCCAGCTGGGAGTGAGATGCCAGTCCCAGCCCCTCACAGGCACTCAATCTCCATGAGCAGTTCTTCTGCGGTTCCCTTCACAAAGAGCACCACTCCACTCCCCATGGGGAAGGGGATGTGAAAACCAAAGCGTGCTCTAGCCCTATAAGTTCCTTTACTGGCATGAATGCTCTTTCAACCCTCATTTGAATGTCTAATCTCATACACACTGAAGTTTGGTGATGGAAATTGATATGTTTTAAATCTTGTCTCTTCTCACAATGTTCCTCCTGTAGAAACAGTGGACTATTTTATATCTCCTAATCATACTATATAAAGTCAGTCTCTTTGTCCAACTCATTCCCCAACTGAAAGACTTTCCATGACTCTTTCTTTTGTGCTATAGGGTACCTCCCAGCTTCCCCTACTCCTTGACGTATTCCTAAATACCTCTAGACTCCCAATGAGTTTCCTGTTCCAAAACATCTGTCATCTGTATTCCTCACTGAAAAATTAACCATGCACTATGTGTGGCATCTCTTAAATAGTTAATATGAATAGTGTTTACATAGTGATGCTTGGAATACCAGAAAATGAAGTTTAAATTAATAACTAGAAATTTTAGGTGTAATAATAATGATGTCCATGGTAATGGTAAAGGTAGGAATGTGTCAAGTACCAGAAGTGTAGAAAAGTAAATTTCTTTATAGTTAGAAAATGAGTTATAATCATTAGTACAAAATTAACATCACATATGTGGGTGACCCAATGGGGCCAGTCATTATGGAGCTTAGGAGTTTCTTTAGACCTTATAAATCAGAGTCCACGCACAGGTTTTACTAATGTTGCCAATGGTAGTATTAGTGTGCCAACACTGCTGTCATGTTTTCTGAACCTGGTTCCAGGACCACTACTTGTGCATTGACTCCTGAGTTTCAATTCTCAAGTCTCTTCAAACATCTGACCAAAGTCCAGACTTTTGTATATTCAAAGTATTTCTTACCTTTTCAAAATTCCATGATTTCAATTATGTTCCATTTACGTTTAAGAGGTTGGACTTTGGTAGCTTCAGAACTACGCTTGTTCAAGCAGATTCATCTTCAGTTTTCCAAATCCCAGCTGCTTCAAGAGAAGTTGTTGGTCAGTGAATGAGCACTGGTATGGTGGGCTGGCAGCAGAATCTCACGGTGCCTTAGCACACAGAGCACTTTGTCCTGTATCAGAGTTTGTGGTGCCAACAAGATACATGCACTAAGTTTCCCTCAGTAAAGATACAAGTGAGGGAGTCTGTGACCAAGCCCACAGAATTTTGAGTTTTGAGTTGGAAGGTCAATTTAAGAGTCATGTATACACAAGAATAAGGTCTATCAACTTTGTTCAGAGGACTGTAGCTTGTGGGCAGATTCCAAAAGGCAAATGTTGCTGACTGATGAATCTGTGCCCCTCATCTGGAGCACCATCAAATCGTCTGGACAATAGTACAGCTGGGCTGGCAGATCAAAAAGCTGGGCAGATGTGTTTGTAGACAGTGGAAGATATTCATGTGGAGTAAGTCACAGATGCTGGAGTACCTATATGCTGGGGAAGTTGATACTACACTTGACAAGGACACGAGAGTGGAAATAAGATGTTTCTGCCCACTTAAAGGAAGTTGTTCTCAAACTCTTTAGCCTCAGAATCCCTTTACATTCAAATTTGGTGAGGGCACTGTGCTTTATTTATGTGGGTTATATCTGCTAATATTTACTGCATTAGAAATCAAAATTGAGTCATTTGTAAAATATTTTTTAAATATTTATTTTTCATTCATAAACAACATATTCACTTTGTGATAACATAAATATGTTTTTAATGAAAAATAACTATATTTTCTAAAGCAAAAAAAATTAGTGAGAAGAATGGCATTATTTTACATTTTGTAAATCTGTTTAATGTGTAGCTTAACAGCGGACAGCTAGATTCTTTTTTCTGTTTCTATATTCATCTATTATGACACAATATGGCATAGAGTATCTGGACAGTGCCACTATACACTAATGAGACAATAAAACTGAAAAAACAAATAACTTAGTATCATTATGAAAGTAGATTTGAAGAACCTGTGTGCCCCAGAAAGTCTTGGGGAACCCCATGGATCCCTGAACTAAACTTTGAGAACACTGTCCTAGGGTTAAGCCTACAATAGTACCCAACTGACCAGATTTGGTAATGACCATAGGTCTGCTCATGGGGGTCTGAGTGATCTAAGAAAAGAATGGATCAAGGACGAACGATGAATTTGGATATGAAAAACCAGGAATAGACTGAAAACCCTAACACAATGAAGGAGAGTCTGAACAGTGAAATTATAAGGGAAAAGCTTGTTTTAATAGAAGAAAATGCAAATAAGATTATGAACTCTGATTCCAATGTGAAGGCTGTTTTTCTTATGCTGTATATTTACATTCTCACCTCTGTCTGGGTAATTTCTGATTTATACTAGAGTCAGAGCCAGTCATTGGTGGTAACCGTGAGGCTTTAAGACCATCTCATAATTTAGATTAATTCTAAGTTTCTGAGAAACTCCACTGTCTACAAGTGGAAGTACTTATAAAATCTGTAGTAAGAGTATTAGTAGTACCTATGAAATAATGGTTACAACGTTCAGAAATTTGTGTTTTAGGATCTATAATAATTTTATTTTCTATGATAGTCAAACCCACATGTAATATTTATAATTTAAATTATTTCAGTGCCTGAAGTAAGGTTACACAAGATCTTCAATGGTAGCATTTTCCGTATCTGTAGCTACAGCTAGGATCTCTTCAGAAGCAATAATACTATTAGTATGTGTAATGCAAATGACTCTATTGGTAGATACAGCATTTGGAAAAGTCCATAGGAAAATAAAGTGTGTTTTTTTTAGCATTACTAATTACATACTCTACTGTAATATCAATAACTGTTGGTATAGAAACCATTTGAGTGCCAGGAGTATCACCAGTGCTCTCAGTTATGGTATTACGCCATGTGACCCAAGAAACAAGTTGGGCTACTTCAATAACTACATCTAAGGCAATAGTATTTACAGAGCCTTATGTGGTGTTATCTGAGATACCAAAGTTACCTGTGAAATCTGTAGTAAGGATGTATAGGATATATAAAACATCTGTAGTTTAAGTGATGAAGTTATAGGGATAATAACCATAATTTAAAAGAATAAGAATACATATTATGGCTGCAAAATAAGTACCCACAGCTTCTTTTGTGAAATCTACAAGGTTTGTAAGCCTTCCTAAACATGTCTACAATGACGACAGTGTTTGGAGTAGCTGTGTCTTTTATGGCTAGAGTACTAACATTTGTGAAAACTTAAGTAGCATAAGATAGAGTATCTCATAACTGATTTTCTATATCTGTAATAGTTGTTTGAAGGAGTTATATGAGGTAACTACCCTGCCTTGAGTAGTAATCATGGAACTTGAGTAGCATTTATGGCATTTGTAATATAAGTAGGTGCAGTAGCAGAGGTATGTACTGTACTATCAGGAGTGGTAGTATTTAAAGCATATTTTGTAATACTTGTAGTATCTTTGGTAGCACTAGTTGCAGTAATAGGTAAATAACTAGCCACAGAATTTGTTACCATGTGGGGAGTTTGTGAATCTAGACCAGTAGCTGTTATTGTGTCTGAGACTGTTGTGATATTTGAAACGGAAATGTGTGTAGTGTTACCTGTAACACTGCTGGAGTTATCTGCATCAGTAATATCCATGGTGCCTAGATTAGAATGATTTGTAGGAGCTAATGATGTGTGGCTTAAGGCCAGTGTTGTAGTAGTAGTAGAATGGGGAGTAGTGAACTGTGTGATGTGTGTGGTGAATTTGTCTGTGGAAGTAACTGTTGTATCTGGACTTACGGTATTATCTTTGGTGCTGGTAGTAGTGACCATAGCATCTATTATCATGGTACTTTTTGTATCAAGAGTGTTGAAAATCATGGTGTTTGCATTTGTAGGGGTAGTAAAATTAGTAATTTTATCAGTAGTGAATGTATTACTTGTTGGAAACATGCTCAAAATAGGAGTAAGAATATGGGTAGGAGTGGTAGGAGAAGTTTGGTAATAAGTAGTCATGCCAGGAATAGTATTATTACTTGTAGTAGTAGCATCAGTACTTGAAGAAGGAGTAGTCACAATAGGAACACTATTACCAAAAGAAGTAGTTGTTATGGAAATACTATTACTAGTTGTATTACCAGCAGACATTGTAGCTAAAAGAGAATTTGTCACAGAAGCATCATTATTTGTGCTAGCAACATCAGCACTTGTAGGAGAAATGGTTACCGTAATAACAGCAGAGTCCATAGCATTACTACTTTCAGAGAAAGAAGTGGTCATAGTAGAAAAACTGTTGCTAGTAGTGTCAACACCAGTATTTGCAAAAGAAGGAATAGCTGTAATTGGAGCAGTATTATTAGGAACAGTATCATCAGTACTTGTATGAGAGGTAGCAGTTATATTAGCAACATTAATACTAGTGCTAGCATTAGTAGTATTTGTTTGAAAAGGAGTACTTATATCATTAATAGTAGTGCTAGTGCTAACATCAGTAGTACTTGTTAGAGAAGGAGTAGTGGCAATAAGTGCAGTAGTACTAATGGTGGCATCAGCAGTACTTGTCAGAGAAGGAGTCACTGAAATGGGAATGGTAGCAATAGTACTCACAGTAGTACTACCTGTAGGAGAAGGCATAATGGTATTAGGAACAGTATTATCAGTGTTAGCATCTGCAGTATTTGTAGGGAAAGGTGTGGTTGTAATAGGAACACTAGCCCTAGTGCTAGCACCAGTAGTACTTGTAGGGAAAGGAGCAGTCGTATCAGGAACAGTAGTACTAGTTGTAACACCAATAGTACTTGCTGCAAAAGGTGTGGTTGTGATGGGAACAGTAGCATTAGTGCTAGCAGTAGTAATATTTGTCAGGAAAGGGGCAGACGTATCGGGAACAGTAGCATTAGTTGTAACACCAATAGTACTTGTTGGGAAAGCTGTGGTTGTGATGGGAACAGTAGCATTAGTGCTAGCAGTAGTAATATTTGTCAGGAAAGGGGCAGACGTATCGGGAACAGTAGCATTAGTTGTAACACCAATAGTACTTGTTGGGAAAGGTGTGGTTGTGATGGGAACAGTAGCATTAGTGCAGTAGTACTTGTAGGGAAAGGAGCAGTTGTATCGGGAACAGTAGTACTAGTTGTAACACCAGTAGTACTTGTTGCCAAAGGTGTGGTTGTGATAGGAACAGTAGCATTAGTGCTAGCAGTAGCATTTGTCGGGAAAGGGGCAGTCATATTGGGAACAGTAGCATTAGTTGTAACACCAATAGTACTTGTTGGGAAAGATGTGGTTGTGATGGGAACAGTAGCAGTAGTGCCAGTGGTGGTATTTGCACTGGCAGAACTGGTGATTGTCTCAGAACTGGTGGCATTGGTAGTAGATGGAGAAGGATGAGAACTCATTGAGATGGTGCTTGTCTCAGTTGTAGTGGAAAGTACAGGATCACCATCAATCCAAATAACCTCAGTTAACTTTTCCAGGTTGATAGTGTTGTTAGTCAATTGAATAGTTAGTGTCTGCCAGAAAAGAAGAGATATAAATGCATATTTTGGAACTTAAATCTCACATGTAGGTCACCTCTTAAATTACAATTTAACAAAAAATGTTTATATCCAGCAATAGGATATAAACATTCCTTTTTAGGTTAGGTCACATTGATTTTGGTCAGATATTACAGAGAGATGCTCTGTGTGCATAATCCCTATGCTGGAAATCTTTTCTTTTCACTTCATTTAGTGTTTACAAATATTTGTAGCTGTGATTAAAACCAACATTTATTAAAATCTCTTTGCTTTGCCATTGGGTTTTAGTCCTCTTGACAGCAAGCTGGTTTCATGTTTTCCTCACTCCAGACAGTATAGTGTCTGGCACATACTAGGCATCAGATATGCCGTAGAGTTTTTAAAAAGAAGGTATTCAAGGATTTTGTGCACAATCTTAACTAGAAGCAATTACTTGCAAAGAGTGGTTTTGAACTCAATAGTCCAGGTAAAATGCTTTAAGGTAAGTACCCAGAAGAGGCTAGAGGGAGAAGATCTATTCGAGTGCTCAGAGGGGCCATCTTCCGAAGTCCAAATACCATCAGGGCACTCATTTCAGTTTTTAGAACACAAGAACTATGGTTATCCATTTTCACTTTTCTAAACCATCCCCTATGGGTTGCTGGTTCTGTATTTATGATGTCTTATGTTCCAAAAATGAGATACTTTTTTCTTTGTGGTTGCCTTTGGTAACTATTGGCATTTCATCTTCCAAAATTCTGTTTTAGTTGGTTCTAGAATCCTCCAGTACGGCCTGCTATTTATGTCCCCCTGTTTTATCAACCTTTTATCTTATACCACAGGTGGGATGTATTCATTTGACAATTACCACAGTTTACTGCCAATTTTCATCCACCTGTAAGATCCATCAGTTTGATCAGGGACATGAATAACTGCAGGAAGCATGGGGGAAACCTTCAACAGCTTTAGGGAATCACCTTTGTTTTAGCCTTTGTTTTATTTAGCAGAAATAAGTTTTATTTTGCTAATGTGGAAGACTAATCTATCAAAACACAGTACAGTTTCTTTGGTAAATACATGGAGAGGATCTCATCAGGCCAGTGATCAATGACCCCTAGGCTATACCAGAAAGACCATTAATGTTGCACATTTTACAATATGATTCAACATTTGCAACTTTTCAGGAACATATCTATTGCACATATTTATAACCTTCTAATACACGAGAATATAACGATAATAATTTTAATTGTTAGCAAAATTATTGGTGATAATTTTGCAGAACGATAAAATTTACTTATGATATGCTAATATTCCTTTCAGACCTACCTGATTATAAGGGTCACTCGTGAAATTTGTCTCCATATATTGCCGGTTGTCATAGGTGAAATTGACTTGTGTCACATAAGTAGAGTTCACACCCCAGATTCTAATATATCTAACTTTTAGTGAATTCGAGTCACTCAAATATTTATTGTGTATGGTCTGGATTTGCAGGATGTTCTATAAAGAATTCATAAAGAGAAAAAAATAACATATTGTTGATAGACTATGGTCCATATTAAAATATTAACAACAAACCTAAATTTACTTTTCTTCTATCAGTTTGCTATTTCTATTTATGTATTTACATTTTTATTGATACATAATAATTATACATATTTATGGAGAACATGTGATATTTTGATACATGTATACAATGTGTAGTGATCAAATCAGGGTATTTAGGATATCCATTACCTCAAATATTCATCATTTCTTTGTTTGTTGGTTGGTTTTTTTGGAGACGGAGTCTCACTCTGTTACCCAGGCCAGAGTGCAGTGGCGTGTTCTGGGCTCACTGCAACCTCTGCCTCCTGAGTTCAAGCGATTCTCCTGCCTCAGCCTCCCAAGCAGCTGGGACTATAGGTGCGTGCCACCACACCCGGCTAATTTTTGTATTTTTAATAGAGACGGGGTTTCACTATGTCAGCCAGGCTGGTCTCCAATCCCTGACCTCGTGATCCACCCACCTCAGCCTACGAAAGTGCTGGAATTACGGGCCGGAGCCACCATGACCAGTCATATTCATCATTTCTTTGCATTGGAAACATTTCAAATCTTCTCTTCTAGCTATTTTGAAATTTACAATAAATTGTTGTTAACTATCATCACCCTACTATGTTACCAAACACAAGAACTCACTCCTGCTATTTAACTGTTTCTTTGTTCCCACTAACCAACCTCTCTTGATGGCTCCCACCCCTTCCCAGCCTCTGGTTATTATAATTCTACTCTCTACACACTTCATGAAGACATACTTCTTGAGTATCTGCTATAATAAATTTGGTAATGCCAAAAATAAGTTTATTGTACCAGCATTATGAAAGTTATTTCCCCTATATTGTAAGTATTCTTATAACCATTTTGAAAAGAAAATATTATTATTGCTATCTTAGAGATAAGGAAACTGAAGCTCTGGAAAATGAAGTGAGTAGTCCAAAGCGACAAGGCTAGATAACATAGCTAAAGTTGGAAGTGCAAGGTGCCCCTGTACATACTACTGCACGAGTTAATTTAGAGTGAACAAAGAAGTGTGCAAACAGTCCCTAGACTGAGAACAGTGTGCAAGAAACAGGAAGTTAACCAAATCATGAATTGTTTAAGTATCAATACAAGGGTTAAAATAATATGACATAAATTATGAGGTGGCACATGATGAAGGCCCAGATGAAAATCATAGTGGATATTTTTCATGGATATGAAGAGAAAGGAAAAATTACACGGGAGGAAGAGGGTCAAGAGAGAACTTCGGAAGGACATGTAACTTCAGAACTCCTGGAAGTATGGGAAGGATTTATTATGAGACAGGAAATAAGGGTACGGGGACACATTGAACAAAGCCACATTCATTGAGGAGTGCAAGGGCAACCATAGCTGGTGCTGAGTAAACACAGACATGAGGCCAGTTAGGTATGTAAGGAAAGATTTTGAAGATTACATGCAATAATCAAGGAGATCGTTGTAGCAGAGTGAAGCTACGCATTTCTCAATTATTATGGCTGCAGTAGGAAGAGAAAAAAGAAACGTTCAACTGGTATTATGAAGGATGAATAAGACTTTTGCTACTGGGCAGGCAGAATCAAGGAAAAAATTTATAGCTCACAATAAATGGGTGTACTAAAGCTAGTACTTATTGATTTGAGAGAGTTGATTTTTAAATTTCCTAGAATTTTGCAAGCCAGATGATTCTTGAAATTGGTTAAGATGGTGGGAGCAGCTACACTACAGAAATTAGCAAATGTTACAAATTATCTCCCACCTCTACAAGCTGGTTTACCAACCAGGAAACCGTTGATAATAGTTATCCCCCAGGGAAAGTTGGGAGCTTTCTTTCATTTCAGGCCCCTTATTCTTAAGGAAAAAATTTATCAAACGTCACAGAAATAAGAATTCATTTATCAGAAAAATGGAATTTTGAAATTAGATGTTATTAAAGGGCAATCTAATGTTTTACAATTTTTTTAAAAACTCAGATTAAACAGGGTGTCATTCCTAATTTGAATAATAGCAGTAGAAATAGAACTAAAATTCAGGATTTCCAGATCATTAAAATAATATTCATTAAAATAATATTTGAGAGGAAAAAATATGTACAGTCTTCAACCCAACTACTCTTGATTTAAGAGCAGAGAATATACAAATTTAATTAGTATACAATTAAATTTATACAAAGTCTGGCAGTTAGTTTCAGAGAGGCCAAATGCAGGATGGAACAATATGACCTGATAATCATGTCTATGAGAAGAATTTGAAGGTCTTAGCTGACCATGAGATTTATATGTGCCAAACATCTGATACATGTGTTAAAAAATAACGCAATGCAATAACAGCAGAAAAAATATAGAATATAGCTAAAAAGAGGTAGTAGGCAATATGGAAGTCTATCTCATCTTATAGAAATGTAAGGTAAACTATATATGTAACTGAATATTTTCTAGTAGTCACATTTTTTAAAAAAGTGAAAAGAAAAAGGGCAAATTAATTTCAAAATATATTTTATTTATATTATATAGCCAAACCGTTATTATTATGAAATTTTTCAATATAAAATTATTCATGAGATAATTTTTTTTTTTTTTGAGATAGAGTTTCGCTCTTTCTATCCAGGCTGGAGTGCCATGGCATGATCTTGGCTCACCGCAACCTCCGCCTCCCAGGTTCAAGCGATTCTCCCACCTCAGTCTACCGAGTAGTGGGGATTACAGGCATGCGCCACCATGCCTGACTAATTTTTGCATTTTGAATAGAGACAGGGTTTCTCCATGTTGGTCAGTCTGGTCTCAAACTCCCAACCTCAGGTGATCCTCCTGCCTTGGCATCCCAAAGTGTTGGCATTACAGGCATAAGCCACCGTGCCCAGCCAAATTTTTTTTTTAATTATACTTTAAGTTCTGGGAAACATGTGCAGAACGTGCAGGTTTGTTACATAGGTATACATGTGCCATGGTGGTTTGCTGCATCCATCAACCCGTCATCTACATTAGGGATTTCTCCTGATGCTAGCCCTCTCCTTGCCCCCTTGCCCTAGTGTATGAAGTTCTCCTCCCTGTGCCTATATGTTCTCATTATTCAACTCCCACTTATCAGTGAGAACACACAGTGTTTGGTTTTCTGTTCCTGTGTTAGTTTGCTGAGTGTGATGGTTTCCAGCTTCACCCATGTCCCTGCAAAGGACATGAACTCATCTTTTTTATGGCTGCATAGTATTCCATGGTGTATATGTGCCACATTTTCTTTATCCAGTCTAACACTGATGGGCATTTGGGTTGGTTCCAAGTCTTTGCTATTGTGAACAGTGCTGCAATAAACAGACGTGTGCATGTTTCTTTACAGTAGAATGATTTATAATCCTTTGGGTATATACCCAGTAATGGGATTGCTGGGTCAAATGATATTTCTGGTTCTAGATCCTTGAGGAATTGCCACACTGTCTTCCACAATGGTTAACCTAATTTACACTCCCAACGACAGTGTAAAAGTGTTTCTATTTCTCCACCTCCTCTCCAGTGTCTGTTGTTTCCTGACTTTAATGATGGCCATTCTAACTGGCGTGAGATGATATCTCATTGTGGTTGTGATTTGCATTGGGCAGTATGACCATTTTCACGATATTGATTCTTCCTATCCATGAGCATGGAATGTTTTTCCATTTGCTTGTGTCCTCTCTTATATCCTTGAGTAGTGGTTTGTAGTTCTCCTTGAAGAGGTCCTTCACGTACCTCGTAAGTTGTATTCCTAGGTATTTTATTCTCTTTGAAGCAATTGCGAATGGGAGCTCACCCATGGTTTGGCTCTCTGTTTGTCTATTATTGGTGTATCAAAATGTTTGTGATTTTTGCACATTGATTTTGTATCCTGAGACTTTGCTGAAGTTGCTTATCAGCTTAACGAGATTTTCGGCTGAGACAATGGGGTTTTCTAAATACACAGTCATGTCATCTGCAAACAGAGATAATTTGACTTCCTCTCTTCCTATTTGAATAAGCTTTATTTCTTTCTCTTGCCTGATTGCCCTGGCCAGAACTTCCAATATTATGTTGAATAGGAGTGGTGAGAGAGGGTATCCTTGTCTGGTACTGGTTTTCAAAGGGAATGCTCCCAGCCTTTTTCCATTCAGTATGATATTGGCTATGGGTTTGTCATAAATAGCTCTTATTATTTTGAGATCTGTTCCATCAATACCTAGTTTATTGAGTGTTTTTAGCATGAAGGGGTGTTGAATTTTATCAAAGGCCTTTTCTGAATCTATTGAGATAATCATGTGGTTTTTGTCATTGGTTCTGTTTATGTGATGGATTACAATTATTGACTTGCATATGCTGAACCAGCCTTTCATCCCAAGGATGAAGCCAACTTGACTGTGGCTTTTTGATGTGCTGCTGGATTTGGTTTGCTAGTATTTTATTGAGGATTTTCACATCGATGTTCATCAGGGATATTGGCCTGAAATTTTCTTTTTTTGTTTTGTCTCTGCCAGGTTTTGGTATCAGGATGATGCTGACCTCATAAAATGAGTTAGGGAGGAGTCCCTCTTGTTTGGAATAGTTTCAGAAGGAATGGTACCAGTTCCTCTTTGTACTTCTGGTAGAATTTGGCTGTGATCTGTTTGGTCCTAGTGCCTCAATTTCAGACCTTGTTTTTGGTCTACTCAAGGATTCGACTTTTTCCTGTTTTTGCCTTGAGAGGGTGTATGTGTCCAGAAATTTATCCATTTCTTCTAGATTTTCTAGTTTATTTGCATAGAGGTGTTTATAGTATTCTCTGATGGCAGTTTGTATTTCTGTGGGATCAGTGGTGATCTCCCCTTTACCATTTTTTATTGTGTCTATTTGATTCGTCTCTCTTTTCTTCTTTATTAGTCTGGCTAGCAGTCTAACTATTCTGTTAATCATTTCAAAAAACAAGCTCCTGAAGTCATTGATTTTTTTGAAGAGTTTTTCGCGTCTCTCTCTCCTTCAGTTCTGCTCTGATCTTAGTTAATTTTTCTCTTCTGCTAGCTTTTGAATTTGTTTGCCCTTGCTTCTCTAGTTCTTTTAACTGTGATGCTAGGGTGTTGATTTTAGATCTTTCCTGTTTTCTCCTGCGGGCATTTAGTGCTATAAATTTCCCTCTAAAAACTCCCTCTAAAAACTCCCAGAGATTTTGGTATGTTGTGTCTTTGTTTTCATTGGTTTCAAATAACTTATTTATTTCTGCCTTAATTTCATTATTTACTCAGTAGTCATCCAGGAGCAGGCTGTTGAGTTTCCCTGTAGTTCTGTGGTTTTGAGTGAGTTTCTTAATCCTGAGTTCTAATTTGATTGCACTGTGGTCTGAGAGACTCCTTGTTATGATTTCTGTTCTTTTTCATTTTCTGAGGAGTGTATTACTTCCAATTATGTGGTTGATTTTCGAATAAGTGCTACGTGGTGCTGAGAAGAATGTATATTCTGTTAATTTAGGGTGGAGAGTTCTGTAGATGTCTATTACATCTGCTTGGTCCAGAGTTGAGTTCAAGTCCTGAATATCCTTGTTAATTTTCTGTCTTGTTGATCTGTCTAATATTGACAGTGGGGTATTAAAATATCCCACTATTATTGTGTGGGAGTCTAAGTCTCTTTGTAGGTCTCTAAGGACTTGCTTTATGAAACTGGGTGCTTCTGTATTGGGTGCATATATATTTAGGATAGTTAGCTCTTGTTGTTGCATTGATCCATTTACCATTACATAATGGCCTCCTTTGTCTTTTTTGTTATTTGTTGGTTTAAAGTCTGTTTTACCAGACACTGAAATTGCAATCCCTGCTTTTTTTTTCTTTTTTCCTTCCCATTTGATTGGTAAATCTTCCTGCATCCCTTTATTTTGAGCCTATGTGTGTCTTTGCATGTGAGATGGGTCTCCTGAATACAGCACACCAGTGGGTCTTGGCTCTTTATCCAATTTGCCAGTCTGTGCCTTTTAATCAGAGCATTTAGCCCATCTAAATTTAAGGTTAATGCTGTTATTTGTGAATTTGATCCTGCCATTATGATGCTAACTGGTTATTTTGTCCATTAGTTGATGCAGTTTCTTCATAGTGTCAATGGTCTGGTACTGTTTTTTTCTTTTCCATATTTATTGCTTTCTTCAGAAGCTCTTGTAAGGCAGGCCTGGTGGTGACAAAATCCCTCAGCATTTGCTTGTCTGTAAAGGATTTTATTTCT